ACTAAGTTCATAAACCTCACTTTCTAATCACTTTCAGAAATTGCCTATTAACCATCTTAAAGCTATTAGAGACCTTCAGAACAACAAGCTTGAAAAGTCTTCATCGGGTGAGTTTGTCTTCAACTCTGAACAAAAGAAAAATTAATTATAAGCTTAAGAACTTAAAGAATTTGAAATAAGCAGCAAAAAGCTAAATAAGATTTTGAACTAAGAAAGTTATAAATGGATTAAGGGCCACATAACTTTGGAATATTGACTTTTACTATAAGATTTTGGAATTAACTATAAAAAATAAACAGCTTCTTGTGGGAAACAGACTTATTTTGACTATCCTGGCTATTCTAAGTCATAAGATAAGTGATGATTTTAGAAACTGGACACTAGAGGGGACTAAAGATTCTAAGCAGAAGAAAAAAAATACAAGCCTGCTCTTCGTCTCCGTTAATAATGGGACTTAAAAATGACATAAAACATTGTAACAATGGAAATATTAGAGATCTTTGGAGAATGGAGCCAAAAATTAGTAACTACAATATCAACACTGTCAGTAATGATGTCTGCTTCTATGGATAGACTATGTCTAAAAGATGTTAATGAAGGAATGACAGATGTGGAACAAATTTTATATGACACTGTCAGTAATGATGTCTGCTTCTATGGATAGACTATGTCTAAAAGATGTTAATGAAGGAATGACAGATGTGGAACAAATTTTATATGAGACAGAAAAAGTACTGAAAGTGGAACTACAAACAACAGGTCAAGAGAATGATTTGGAAAAGGACGCTTTACTGGACATACAAAAGAAACTGGCTGACGTTTTAAAAATTAAAAGGGAAAAACAAACGATAAACCAAAAGAATGACCGGGAAAATATTTTCTTATTGGATCTACAAAAGAGGCTTGTTAAAGCCTTGAAGAAATCTGTGCAATGGGATAAAGAAGAATTGAAGACGCTTTACTGGACATACAAAAGAAACTGGCTGACGTTTTAAAAATTAAAAGGGAAAAACAAACGATAAACCAAAAGAATGACCGGGAAAATATTTTCTTATTGGATCTACAAAAGAGGCTTGTTAAAGCCTTGAAGAAATCTGTGCAATGGGATAAAGAAGAATTGAAGAGAAATCAAATCCTACAATATTTGATTGAATTAAAGATTAAGACTGTTAGAAGGAAAAGAAATATAAAGTTGGTATATTTCATCAAGGTTAAAATAAGACTTTTTTTTTTTTTTTTTGCAAAGTTCTGGCAATCCCCTTATGGACTTTTTGCTGACACCTGGATTGAAAAGTTGATGTTTTATGGATTTGCTTATAGATAAGGGATGGCATATGGGATGAAGAGAGATCTGTCTGTAACCTTACAGGGGGTAAAGTTATTACATTTGTTTATACTTGTGGTGAAGGTTGGAAGTCACTTCTTTATATATTTCTTTCTTTTTTATTATATTTTTTCTTTTCCTTCTTTCTTTTTCTTTCTTCTTGCACTTTTTATTCTTTTTTTCCATTCTCTTTTTTTCTCTGTTTAGTCTCTATTAGTTTTTACTATTGTAATTAAAATTCTTAATAAAAATTATATTAAGAAAAAAAGAAGTCTCTCTTCCATACTAAACTCTCAGACAGAGTACTATTCTAGGCAAATCAACACAAATGTCATGTATGGAACTTCTGAAGCTACACCTTTAATGAAAAATCATAATTTTGAGTCATCACTTTTATGACAGCAAATATGTCACCTCAAAACAAAGCTTACCCCTGCAATTTCAGTAACAACTTTCTCTGTCACCTCTTTTCCCCCTGTCAGTCGTGTAGCACTCTGAAGAAGCGTGATGGCTTTTCTCAAATCTCCTTCTGCCACATGAACAAGGTAATCAATTGCCTATATAACACAAGAAATATTTAAAATAAAAGAAACACAAAAGAAAGCATAACCAGCAAAGGAAAACAATGAATACCGTTTTGCAAAGTATGCTTTTTTTCATCTTATAATAAATTTGTAGCTTGTTGATGGTCTGTGGTGGAGCCAGGATGAAAGTGGCGCATCCATGCTTGTGCTCCTTGATCTCCAGCAGCTTTTGAAATTGACAACCATGGTATCCTTCTGGGCCAGCTCCAGGGGTTGGGAATTAAGGGCACCATTTTATGGTGGTTCTCTTCCTTCCTCCAGGGAGAGTTTCAGTCAGTGTTGGTCAGAGAGGTGTGGTCACTTCCTAGGGCCCACCTTTGCAGGGTTTGACTCACCTTCCCCTCCTTTTCAACATCTACATGTTGCTTCCAGGTGCATTTCAAAGTGCTGGTTATGACCAATAAAGTTCTACACAGCATAGGGACTGGTTACTTTAGGAATTGCCTATTTCCTGTGATGTCAGCCTGCCCGGTTGATTTCAACAGGGTTGGCATGCTCCAGATTCCTTTGAGAAACAATGCCATCTATCGGGACCCGAGAAGTGTGCCTTCTCTGACTCAGTGTTTGCCCTCTGGAGGGAGGTTCAGTGAGATCCAGGTGATTCCCACCTGGTGGCATTCCAGAGGGTCTTAAAGACTTGGTTGTTCTCCCAGACTTTGGGCTAGATGGCTGGAGCCCCTTGTTGGGTGTGTGATATGCTTTTTTGACTGGACATGCCATCTGTTTATTGCTATGTTTTTATCTGGATTATACATATGTTGTTCTATTTTTATGCTGTGAACTGATCAAAGTCAACTGGAGTCGGGCGGCATCCAAGTTGGATGGATAGATGGATGGATGGACGGACGAATGATTCCTTATTATCTTGAGTAGGAAAGCTAATGCGGGCAAGGGGAAGAGAGGACACAGCACTGTCCCATGTATAATATTTGCCATATGTAGGAAAAAGATACATTCCACATATTCCTTCCTACAAACTGGATCTGTCTAAATTACAAAGTAATACAACTCCCCAACCACTTCAAGGGTATTTTTTCTCATATTAGTTTTTCCTAAAACCATCCTTAAATGTTTAATGAAACCAGATTTAAAGTCTTTTCTGCAAGATGTCATGTACACTGATGGCATCACATACAAGCTGCTATCTGACAGATATAACTGACTGCCTGGTTACCTGCCAGCAACAGGAGGCAATTCTGTTGCTCCTGAGTGGCCTCTCCCTGTCTGCAAACTCAAAAGTCTCCTTGGTTCAATGAGGAGCTTCAGGAAATGAGGGATCATGAGCAATGCCTGGAGTTACAGTGAAGAAAGATCAAAAATAAACTTGAACAAACACAGGTATGTGCTAAAGTTGAAGCCTACATTGTGTGGTAAGGAAGACAAAGCACCACTACTTCTCCCCTATTGTGTCAGTGGACTGTTAGTTAGCCACCGTGGAGTGACCAACTCCCCTTTGGGAAGAAAAGAGCAGGTAGATCATCCACCTGGCTGCTGTGACCAGTTTGCACAATTCTTTGCTGACAAAGCTACTCAGGTTTGCCTAAGTTTTGATTCTTGATAGGCAGGGCCTGATGTGGTGACTGGAACAACACCCTGCCATGTTAGCTGAGACTCCTTTCATAATGCTGACTCTAAGGATCCACCTGTGGGCTGGATCCAAACCCCTCCTTACTCTTTCATGGGATTGGAAGGGTGTGCGATAGACTGGATTGGGGGTGGCAATTTGATAAAACTCTGCATTGTGAAGAGACAGATGAAGTCCACAGCCTTGAAGGTGACTGGTACGCCTCCTTAAGACCTTCCCTTTTGGAGAAAGTTTTGTTTGTTGTTTATTGGTTTACAGGCCACCAAATCATATAGACTCACAATGGTTTACAAGAAGATCTATTCCCCCAAAAGAAACTGCAATTAAACCTTCCTTGATAATAATCAATCCACAGTTGATAATATATTAAAACATGCACAGTAATGACACAACTTAAATATCTCCAATGCAATAATAAAGCATCATGGTAAACAATAAAACAATGGCAAAACCACAATAACCAGCCTAAGATTGTTGAGAGGGTGGTGGGAAATCAGTTTCTGAGTGTTGTAGAAGTGTGTTATCTGGATCCCTTTCAAATAGGGTTTAGGCCTGAACATAGAATGAAAGCAGTATTGGTCATGCTGGTGAAGGCCCTGGAAGGCAATAGTGCATTCCTTCTTGTCCTATTAGACCTCTTAGGAGTCTTTGACACCATTGATCATGGCACTATTCTGGACCACCTGTGAGGTTTGGGGAACTGGAGGCAATTTTACAGTGGTTTTGTTCCTTCCTCAGCAGGTGGTTATAGAGAAGGAGAGGTCAATTTAGTGGAATGCCAGACAGTTCAGTCCATTCCCTCCTTCTTTTTAACAGCTCCGTGAATACTGGCAAGGTCATCCACCAGTTCTGGAAAACACCAAATCTCCTAAATTAATCTTCATATTCTTTACTGTCAAGTTTCATTCAATGACCAAATTACTTCATTCAATTATTTTTTTTCTAGATATAAATATGACATATATAAACTTACATATAAATTCTATCCTAATTTACATTAGTCAACTTTCACCTCCCTATGATGCAAAGCCCTAAACTTTGAATGCTTTTCCTTGTAGAGAAAGCATTTCAACCATTGGTCACCTTTGTCTACCTTCTCCACTTCATTGTCTCATTTGAGATTGAACAACTAGAACTATAAACAGTATTCCAGATATGGGTCACTATACTTTTAAGGCCATTAAACACTGCGTATGTGTGTATGTGTGTGCATGTGTGTACACAGAGATACACTCCTTCCTTCTTTCCTCCCTCCCTCCTTCCCTCTCTCCCTCCCTCTTTCTGAATAATCCAAAGCACTGTATTTGTAGATTCTTATTTCCATTCACCCTTTTATCAGAGCTTCAAGGTTTTATTCATGGTTAGTCACAGAAAATTCAACCCTCATTAGCCTAGGTAATGCATTTCTTTTGGAGGTGCTGGTGGAAGGGCATGTTAAACTTCTACTGAACTTCAGTGATAGGAGTGCGAGGTCCGACTGTAGCACTGTTTACACACAATCTCTAAGAATCACATTTAAATTCATCTTCCCAAACCTGATATTTTGGAGTTAGAAGTTTTAGTATCAATGAAATTAGAGATTTGTTTGGGAAGACTGTTCTAAATCTAATCTATCTCCATTTTTTATAAAAGAGCATATGATTAAACTTTATAGGCTGTATTTAATATAACAGAGGCTTCATTTTCCCTATCCAAAGGGATTCTCCAATCCTCTGCTGCAGATCTGAGCTGTGTGCAAGAACCTCCAGGGGGACAGGGAATTCCATTCATCAGTGCTGCCTGTTCTAGTGGCAAAATAATATTAACGAAGACAACCCTATGCTCACAATATTAAGACAAAGAATTATGTAACAAATTGGCATATTACCTCATTGCTGACCATCACATTCTCCTTTTCAGCAATGTCTAGCAGTCTCTGCCGTTGGATTTTGTCAGAAAGTGGCTTGAAACGAAATTTGGAACATCGAGATGTAATTGGTTCAATTATCCTATCAAAGACAAGAAGATAAACTCGTAACCAAAGGAATCTATTCTCTTATTTCAACACAACCAAATAACATAGTGTCTTTCCACAGCATATAAATACATTTTCACATACTAGAACTGTGTTATCTTACTCATTTTTTCCATAAGTGGAATTTAATTGTCTCTAAAATGCAAGCCCAGTCTTTGATTTCTTAGACAAAGATACTTTAAAGAACGGAGCTAACCATGTATAGATTCAGAATTTAAGCAGGGTCAGACCTGGTTAATATTTGGATGAGAAAACACCAGGAAATCCCAGAGCTGAGGGCTAGAGTGGGAAGCTGAAAAACCAGCCAAAAGAGACAGTTGCAAAACACATCTATAACACCCCCCAGGAAATCTCACAGATTATGCCCATGAAGTTACCAAGAGTTGAGTTCACTCAAAGGTGTATTTATCTAATGCATTTTTCGTAACAGTAAATTAATATAAAAGCATGCTGTAATTCATATGTACCGGCTGATGTAATTACAGATAAGGCAGAATCGTGTGGTCTTCGATTCTTTCTCCATGGTGCGCCTTAAAGCTGCTTGGGCTGCTGAGGTCATAGAATCTGCTTCATCCAGGATTATGATCTTAAAAGGCGGACATGGCTTGTTGCTAAACACAAACCATCACAAAAGCATATGTTAGCCATTTATGGTACTAGTGCAAGTACTGCTTTCAGCAGTCTACTGGCAAATCCGTTTTGCTGTGAGCATTGCTTACCCATTCGAAACCTATGGTGGGAAAAATTCTGAATTGGAACTTTCCCCACTCTCTTCCCCAAGTTACTAAATACTGCTGCACTATGCGGAACTGTCCCACTAATATTCAAAACAGGCCACATTATTTTCTGCTAGATTTTTATTTCCCATTGATTCCTTTATGCAAAGTGTTGGCATCCACATACTGCATGTGCTTCTTATGACCCCCAAAATTTGTCCAGACTTAGCAAGGCCAAAGTTTCTGGCCCATTTGTGGGCAGGTTTAGGGGCAACAACTATTCTTTGAGTCTTACAGAAGCTTAAGGCATCAATTTCACCTTTAAAACCCTTGAAATGTTTTTCCCCCATTTTAGAGAGGGATTTAAGAGTCCAAAAGAATGTGATTTTAGCTAAAGTAGTATTTGTCCCTTAACTCCCAGCAAAAAAACAGGCAGAAAAAACAGGCCAAATCCACTCATGCTTTTCCTCAACACTGCTTTATTTTTTTTTTCATTACATAAGCTCCATATGGCTTATATCTCTCCTTTCTGCCTATAAGATGGAGAATCGAGGCATTAATCATTTATTTATTTATTTATATATATATATACACTCACTTATATATATATATATATAAAATTTATG